TAATACATATTAACTATATACTGTATATAGGAAATTGATCATTAATCATTGAAAGGAACTTGGACTGCTTTGAATTTGATGTTTCAAATAACTATCTTGAGTATTATGAACCTCCCAGTTAATCAGTGATGACAAATGACTAAATGACTAGTCATTTGGGTCATTTGAAAGTCAATTTTAAATGACATGGTCATTTGCTGAACCAATCATATTGTTTAATTTTAAATTCAAAATTTTAACATTTAATCAAATGAATTTACAAAATCAGGTGATTCTAAATTATCATTAAAAATACTACAGACTCCATTTGGCAATTATAACCAGCAGGATGTATAGTATGATCTACAGATATAAATTCTAAAGGATCAGAAATATCTTCATTATCATCAATCATATTCATCCAATTTTGAATCAATTCTACCCAATGTTCAGTTCCGTTAATAGAATTACCAGTTCCTTTTTTGAAGGCATCTAAATCCCCTTCTCCTTCAAAAGATGCTAATGTTCACAGTCATTATTTTCAATATTATCATCTCTGAGTGTCATATCATTAGTTACTTCATTTGCATCAAGCAATCTATCTTCATTATCATTGCCAACAGATTCTTGATTATGGGAATTACGATGTGATTTCTTTATAAAGGTTTCCATATCTGACTGTTTTTTTCTTTTGAAATATTTCACTCCTCAATTGACACATTCCAAGAACTTTTTCGTGCTTTTAATAAAAAGATTTTTAATTTTTATTAATCAATCATTTTATAATAAAACTTAAAATTGAAAACTATGTTTTTTACACACATAAGACAATTCCCTTTTTTTGAATGTATAAACCCATATTGGATCAGAGTCTTGCAACAGAGGCAGAATTTATACAAATTCCATGCAAGTGAAGAACTAATCTTTACAATTCAAGTGCTTCACTTTTTGCTAAATAACTAAATCAACTATTTCACAATCAAGTTGACTAAATGTTCTCATATCAAAACTATAAGCTTTCTATTGATATAATAAATATTCACACAAAATTCTGATTGGTGGTGCACCAAATCAAGCATGATAAAATAATTAATCCACTGACCAAAATAAGTACATGAAAGATTGTTTATATTATTTTTAAAAAATGAAATTCTCTATTATGGATGAAGGACTAACGATAAAAGCAAAAGTGGTTGTTCCATCTTTTTTCAATACCCATATTTCATATAAACAATTTTAAAAAAAAAATGAATTGATCTACCTCTTTTGTCATACAATAAATTGGTAAAACTTTATTGGTTTATTTAAATGACCAACCCAAATGACCTTAATGACCATCAAATGACCATCAATGACCTAACCATTTGA